GATTTTGAAAACGACCTCCATTTTAAGATTAGGCCACCGCGTTTCGATTTCTTTGAGTTTTTCAGATTTTTTTCATATGAGGATGTATTCTTATGTTTCCGGAGCCGTAGATTTTGAAAACGACCTCCATCTTAAGATTAGGCCACCGCATTTCGATTTCTTTAAGTGTTTCGAATTTTTATCATAAAAGAGTGTATTCTTATGTTTCCGGAGTCGTAGATTTTGAAAATGACCTCCATTTTAAAATTACGCCACTGCGTTTCGGCTTATTTAAGTTTTTCGAATTTATCCAATTTAAAGATCTACTTTTATGATGCCGGAGCCTTAGTTTTTATAACGACTTACATTTTAAGATTAGGACACTGTGTTTTGGTTTTTTTAAGTGTTTTTGATTTTTCCTTCGAATAAAAAACAAAATACGAAGGATTAATTTATTTTTCAATAAATAAATAAAAATATCTAATCAAAATAAATAAAATATGTATTTTCTCATTTTTAATTTAATTTTAGTTATCTTTTTTAATGTTGTGGTCTCCTGTCACAAAATTATAAGATTTCGAACAATTAGCTGAAAAATGTGAATCCGGAAGGTTAAATTTATTACCAACTGCTTTTCGGCGTTTTAGTTTGTCTTCTGTGGTTAATTTAACTTTAGCTTCATAATATTTATTTATTTATTCATACTCGAAAACATATCGATAAAACTTTGTATTGAAAAAATCCAAAATGAAGCCTAATTATTCGAGATGCAGCGGCTTAATCATAAAATGGAGCTTAAATATTAGATAAATTTAAATATTACAGATTAGAAAAATTTCAATACGTCTCGGATAACATATAAGTAGAACCTTATACCGAAAAAGTAAAAAAAAAAAAAATTTTATAATCCAAAACACAGTGGCATAAACTTGAAATTGGGTCATTTACAAAATGGGGGAAATCTACTGCTCCAGAAACATAAAATTAGACGTTTATACTTGTTAAATTCTAAAAACTTAAATAAGTTGAAACGCAGTGGAGTCAAATCATAAAATAGAGGTCATTTTCAGAATCTACGGTTCCGAAAACATAAAAGTAGATTTTTAAATTGGATAAATTCGAAAAACTTAAATAAGCCGAAACGCAGTGGCGTAATTTTAAAATGGAGGTCATTTTCAAAATCTACGACTCCGGAAACATAAGAATACACTCTTTTATGATAAAAATTCGAAAAACTTAAATAAGTCGAAACGCAGTGGCGTAATCTTAAAATGGAGGTCATTTTCAAAATCTACAGCTCCGGAAACATTAAAATACACCCTCATATGAAAAATATCCGAAAAACTCAAATAAGTCGAAACGCGGTGGCCTAATCTTAAAATGGAGGTCGTTTTCAAAATCTACGGCTCCAGAAACATAAAAGTAGACCTTTATATTGGATAAATTCTAAAAACTTAAATAAATCAAAACACACTGGCGTAAACATAAAATGGATGTCATTTTCAAAATTTACTGATCGGGAGACATAAAAATACACCCTTATATCGAATAATTCAAAAAAACTTAAATAATTCGAAACTCAGTCACGTAATCTTAAAAGGGAGGTTATTATCAAAAACTACTCATACGATAACAGACCCACTCATCGAAAAATTAAAGATAATTAAATAAATAAAAAAAAAGGTTGAATTTGAAATGGAAAAGGTTTAATTTGAAATGGAAAAGGTTGAATTTGACTTGGAAAAAGTTTAATTTGATTTGGAAAAGGTTGAATTTGACTTGGAAAAGGTTGAAATTGACTTGGAAATGCTATATCTATATATATATAAGTTCATTTATTGTCCTACGGATTACCGAGTATGCTGTGTATATAGCAACCCAATATAATTGGGCATCAATCTTTTATATTTTATATAAAAATAAAGTGTTTCTCTCATTAAATTTATTTTAATACTAACAGACAAGAATATTGCGCTTTAAAGGGGTTGAAAAAATAGTTAAGCAGATATAAGATTTATAATTATGTAATTAATTGTTTTCTAATATATAGTAATTACTTATTGGTATTTTTTATGTCTAATAAACATATAATTGTCTCATTATCTATTATAACACAGATTTTATAAAGATAACATATAATTCATACCATATATAACATAAGCTTATCATTAATTGAGGATTTCAGTTGACAGAATGAGTAACTATCCCTAGTAATTATCCCTTTCTTCACAGTTCTATATTTAAACACTGTACTCACTCAGGATTCCACTTAGTCAGATATTATAAATATCAATTTTTTTTTTTTTTGACTTGATTCTTCAACTCACACCTGTCAGAAGTTCCGACAATCAGCGAGTGTGATGTCAAGATGAAGAGATTGGTCTTGGAATAGGCGTGAGGGAGAGGAGTACCCAGCGGCGTCCTTCCTGTCTTGAGCGTAATATTTCTAGTTAGTGGAGGAGATCCCTCATCCAGCTTCTTTTAAGCCTCCTTCGGGTGCTATCGGGCATGTTAGTAATATCAAATTTAAATTACAAATATCACTAAAATGATTTTACTCAAAAATTTTGAAATTATAGTTAGTCATTCTGTCAACAGAAGTCTCAATTAGCAATTCAAGAGCATTTCGTTAACATGATAGAATTAAATAAGAATATTTGGCCATTTTGCTTTACTCCATCACTAATCATTTAATGGCATTATTTTAATTATGTAAAATAGAGATATCGACTCTCAGTTATTACTACTCATAAAAGTTAAAAATGGTAATCAAATACATCGTTGATTGATTGGAAGTTTTAAAAGGTGCATCTAAAATCTTTCTAATCAAAACTGAATGTTTCCGATTTGCATAATTTTCAGTACTTCAGACACACTCTATTTTATTTTTTTAAGGCTTTTTTAAATACATTTTTAAAATTCGAAATTTTCAACATGATTTTGATCACAACAGACCAATGTCGCTACTTATATGTTTAAATCTTATTGTCTAGGCTTCCATTTGATATGTAACATGACAATCTTAAAATTAGAAATTATTTATATTTGCTTTCAAAATTTTGTTGTTAAATGAGTGCTTTTAAAGCACACTGGGCTGCAAAGCTCAAGGCCCAAGGGTTTGAATCCGGCTGATATCAAGTAGTTTTTCATTACACGTGGATTGACCCTGAGGTCGGGAGACTCCCGGGGCACTCCCAGCCTCTATAAAGTGGGTGCACTTAATTAAATAATGAATTAAGGTGGAAAAGCTGGTAGTTGAGCGTGATCCTAGCTCGACCATCTCCCTACAAAACCGTTGTTCTTCCTAACAAATTTTTTTTTGTTTTACTCAAAACATATTAAAATTAGGTATCTCTTTCATGTTCAATATAAAATTAAAAATTATTATAATATTAATATTTTATTTACTTGTGATCACACCAACATGAAGAATTCAGGATTAATTAAATCGATACATACTGGACTAAGTATTTTTATATATATAAAAATAAGGTCACTTAATTATTATTTAATAAACTATTGAATGTTCATTTCTTCTGTTTATTGACGTTTCGATCCCGGTATTTTCTTTTTATTAGTCAACCATGGGATCCTCTTCAAAACTAGAATTTTAAAAAATAGAGCTTCGGTCAGGCCAGGGACACACCGACAGTCACAGCACCGTCCACTAGCACATATATTAAGCTACTGTATATAAGCTACTAAGCAGTAGCTTAATATATGTGATAGTGGACGGTGCTGAGACTGTCGGTGTGTCCCTGGCCTGACCGAAGCTCTATTTTTTAAAATTCTAGTTTTGAAGAGGATCCCATGGTTGACTAATAAAAAGAAAATACCGGGATCGAAACGTCAATAAACAGAAGAAATGAACATTCAATAGTTTATTAAATAATAATTAAGTGACCTTATTCCCAATTAAATAGTTAAGTTTAAATATATGTACACAATAGTAAATATATATGTACATATATACATATATACATACATATATACATATATATATATATATATATATATATATATATATATATATATATATATATATATATATATATATATATATATATATATATATAAACCCAGTATTTTTGAGTTTTTCTATACTTTCTATCTTTTGTAGTTTTGTAGAATATAATTGAAACAAATTTTATTTACAAATTTCTTTTACTTATTTTACCAATCATAAAATATTTCAGCAAATTAGTATCCTTCATATTATTCAACAATTGTTTTATGTAAAACATGTTATTAATATATAGAATTTAAGGGATTAGGTAACGCTATATTTTTATATTTATAATTGATCGTATGGAACCTTCTTGAATCTATATTTTATTTACTCGTGGTCTCATCATTTATCCATCTACAAATCTTGAATAAATTAACCTAATATATATATTTTTTAAAATTAATTGTTTTGGCTTTTTCAAAATTTAAAATTCTGAAAACTAAGTTTAAAAAGTTTCATATTTTGAGAAAATGTTCTTATACTTTAAAATAAGAAACATGATAGGCTGAAATTTTAATTTTTTTAATTTAATAAATACTTAAATAATTTATAAGTTATAACTGATACTGTTCATAAGCCACAGCTGATTTCGTATGGAATATCTCAATCATAGTATTTTACTTTCTATAGCGAACTTATGAATTTAATCATGACCTATCTACGCGGCCTATAATATGTTGCAACGCGTTGGTTATTTGAACAATCTTCCTTATGTATGAGGACGTTAAACTTAAATAAATAAATAACAACGATAATAGACTGAATAACAAGCTTTTTCTTTCAATATTTTCGAATGATTCGCACTCCTTAAGTTTCATTGCACATGAAACATCCATCCATTCAAAAATTTGGTTCTGATACAGGTTGTTTGAATGACAACAAAGTTCAGGGATACAGTTGTTCCCCTTTTCCTAACATAATAATTCACAAACTATGTTTATGATTCAATGGTTGAATGCATTGCATGCATTATACATTATGCAGATCTATAATCTAAGAAATCGTGATAGATGCGATGTGGTTGCAGATAATGAATAGAAGCAATTTGATCAAGGCGTAAACTGGACCATAATCACGATGTAAGTAGTTGCCGTCGATACCATCTGGAAAAAAAATATAGAATTACAGCTTTTTTTTTTTAATATATTTATTATAATTTACAATTCCATTGACTAAACATACAACAGATAAATTTAGTTTGGTAATGAAATAGATACGATTGAAGAGAAACTATTTTTTGTTTGCACTATGATAATAGTTCTAGATATTAGAACCTCCCGAGACATTTTCCTAACTAAAGCCATGGAGGTTTGTCAGGTTATCGTTGTTTTTATGAAAAAAAAGCTTCCGGGCTGAAGCCCCCAAAATTAAATCCTGGATACGCTAGTCATGCAATGTTAGAAACTAGTGGGTTTGGGTTGGGCTGGAGCTTATTATGGAAGGATGGGTATCTGGATTGGGCTAAATCGGTAACGGAAGGAACATGAAGATCATTATGCATATTTGTGACAAATTAAGGGGCATTCAGGATTTTGGAGTGTAAGGATTGGATATGAGAAGATTTTAATAGTTTAGCGAAGCCTAAAACTCCAGTTCAAATAGACGATGTTACAGTCACGTAAATCAATCTTTTATAGTTCATTGGAAGCTTGGAGTCTCTTCTTCTTCCATGACTCCACAACCCGCTTTCCAGTCTCGGATTCCCAGAATGGTGCGTACATCCTTGGTTACCCCATCCACCCAGCGTAGCCTGGACCGTCCACGCCTTCTACTGGTGATTTCTTCTTCTAGGAGCATTCTTCGTGGTATCGAATCGGCATTCATCCTGGCCGTATGCCCAGCCCACCTGACTACTAACCCAGATGAAGCGCACGCGGACTACATCATAGTCGTTGTGCAACTCAGATATCTCGGCGTTAGTTATAACCTGCCAGGTTGTTGGCATCGAAAGTCACTCCAAAAATTCTTCTTAGTACCTTTCTTCTGAACCGTTGCAGTTTATGTTGCTAGGCCTTAGATAGAGTCCAGAACTCCGCTCCATATGTAAGCACAGGCCTATCAGTCAAAAACGCTATTTAGAGGCAATATTCTACTTTTCATCAGTCGCAATTGCCCAAAATAACATCTGCTAGCTGCAACGATTCTTCTTTGGATTTCCTTTCCTACGTCGTTATCCTCAGTTATTTAGGAGCCAAGCTATATGAATTTGTCTACTCTCTCAAATGCACATCCGTTCAGTTGTACATGGGAAGGAAGCATTTCTTGTGGGTTCGTTACTATTTATACTATTTTTGGTTGGTTAACTCTAAGCCTTATTTTTGCAGCGGCAGCTTGTAAGTTCTCAATTGCCTCACTCATGGCTTTGAAACGAATCCATAATCTTGAAAGAGCAAAATTATAGAAGAGGCATGCAAGACTGGCGTAGACCTCGGTAAGACTGGTATGACTGGAATGGAACACCACACCGCATCCATTGTCTTTTTTATGAATCTCACAAGCTTGGGTGTGACTTCCTTATTGAACAAAGCTTTCGTTTAGTTCGTTCCTTTTCACACTCGTATGCGGCTCGATAAGCAGTTGATAAAAAAAAAGTTTGGATATGGTAATCTCGGGTTGTTCTAGCATCAACCTAACGGGAAACATGTCCTTTCCTCTCAGCCTGGTTATTGCTTATCTCTCTCTCTTCCTCTCTCTCTCTCTCTCTCTCTCTCTCTCTCTCTCTTGCTCTGCATGGGGAAATAGCTTGAGGAACAAAATTCTGGACAGTACCTTGTAAGCACTAGACAGCAGTGAGATAATGGTCTTGTACAAGTCCGCCGTGTTTGTCTCACTCCTTAATAATGTTGTGAAGAGGTTTCATTACCTCTTGCCCTCCATGCCTAAACAATTCTGATGACAGCCATCAGCTGCCGGTGCGTCATTATTTTTTTAAGCATTCCACGGCTTTCTGATCTTTGGCTCCATTGTCACTTCCTGTGTGGATCAATAGAGTTATGTTGGTCTAAAAAGTGTTGAAGTAACGTAATAAGTCTAGCAGTTTCTTGTTCTTTCAGTCTTGTAGCAAAAATGCATCACCGACAACTCCGCAGATTAAACCTAGGGAGCGTATAGATGAGGATACTAATTGGTATGTTGTTTTATTTACAAACGAATCACGTTTATGTAGTAGGTCTACGAAAATAGGAAAATGTGATTTGATACTATTCTGTATAGGCACAATACTCACTCTACCGATCAAGGAATAATCAAAGTTGAAGAAACCCATAGCTGAGAACTCTACATTACGCTTCGCCTTGAAGTGGTGTCGTATTCTCTTCTGTGAACAAAATTAATAACACTCTCATTTATGATTTTAAAAAACGTAATTAAAAATATTATCTTCTACTTAATATATTCATCAAAAATGAATAGGAAAATTTATATTTAATTGTTATTTGATTCGTTTTAGTAAAAATACCCAATTTGTTAGGATTCTCTCAATTGCTGGAAAACATATCTTCATTTTTATTCAATTATTATCTAAAGGATAGCCAACATGAGGAATACTCATTGTGTAAACCAACAGGTGTTTTCATCGTTTCCCAAGTTTACTCAAGAAATATTCCGTTTAACGATGGAAAGACATCATATCGAACGAACCACAAGCTCCCAATATTATCGCGAGAAGGGCACTGGCAAGTGTATATCGCCGATGCAGGTGGCTTTTCCCAGGGTTTGGTATCCAGGACTTCAACCAGAATGAGAGAAACTAGAAATACTAATTGGAAAATTGTTAGTAGACCTCTGCGCAAAGGATGTCAGATATATTGTTATTAGTGCAAGAAGAAATCCTTTTCATATTGCCCGACAGAGCCTAAATAAAGTGCCTATTATTCTGCCATGGCCCATATCAACTCAAACCATTCGTTATCGCTCATGAGGAGTTGCTCTAACATCTTATGTCCCAATAAGACGAAATGCAGCAACATTGTGTCCAGAGTGTACTGTTTCTGTAGCGAGCGCCTAGATAAGAATAAAAATTGCTGCTGTGTTGTAATGCAAAGTAAACTTTTTGAATCGTAAACTCAGTTTTTCAACTTGAATCCACGGATATGGGGTAACCGACTATTGCTTCATGTCTTAGGACTGTAAATACTATAAATTGAAAGGATTGGTAGCTTTATACATCTGTAAGCCCTCTCTATACATACGCTTGCTCTCTATACTCTAAGCGGCCATTTCGTATTCCAGGGGCTATATGCTGCCAGACGTGATTTTTTTTTCATTAGACCTGTGAATATGATTAATTTATAAGGACAAAGCTTAGTATGGAATATGACACCTTTTTTGCCACGGGATCCCAGACTACACAGCTGACGAAACAGAATAAATAATTTATCTCCAATCATCCGGATTTTAACCTGCAACCAGGAGCATTAAAAGTCAGCGCCCTACCACTGAGCTATCCTACTCCCAAATCATGCCTTCTAAGCCATGTAATTAGAAAAAAGTTAGAACAGAAAAGTAACTATTAAGGATAATATTTAATAATCCGAGAATTAAGTATTTTTCAAGATGTTCATCATGTAAAACCCCTCAGTTGGTATGATACCTCAGGAATATTTCACACCAGACGGATAGTCAGATGAAAACACAATTATACATAGAAAACATAATAATACTATGTGTTTATTTTATAATTGCTAAATAGTTATGAGAGTACTTACGTTACGTAATAATTGTTTGCTATTATCGTTCAGCACTAATCTGTACAAGGTTTTGTCAAATTTCTTGGCCTGAAAATATAAAAGCAAATTATTGATTTTTTTTTTGGATGGCATAAAATTTGAGGATGAAAATTCAGATACAAATTTTTTTTTTTAGATTTATCAAATTATTATTAAATCCAATCTTAATAACTTGAGTTTCATACTCTTGGAATCCTTCGATTTTAAACTTATTCAATTACTTTTATTATTTTTAAATATATTCTAAACTTAAGCTCAAATTTATGGTAAAAAAATATCAATAAATTTAAAATTTAATTTTAATGACATTTTCTTCTAAAAAAAAATTTTAATTGAGGAGGGGGTACATCCGAACACCTCCAATTCGGTTCTTTTTGGGAGTTTTTTTTATTGCGCTGTATATTTTATATCATAATTCATATAATTTTTTTAAAAATAGTTGATTTAATACACAAAAGTAAAATATAAAAAAGAAAATAAACAATGGACAGAACACAATAATGTATAAGTACTATGATGTGAGATAGGGATGAGGCAATGGGATTTTCAATAAAGTAACTTACTTTTGCTGGATTCCACACTGATGCCATTCTCTGGAATTGTTGTCAAAGAACTCTTGGAACGCAATTTCAATTTTCACAAAATTATCAATTTTTTTTCCTTGAAGAAAATCTGTCATGGATCTAAATAAGTAGTAATCCGATGGTGCGAGTTCTGGACGATATGGCGGATGTGGCAGGAGTTTTTCAGGCAGGGATTTTTTAATAAATTTTTACAAATTTCTTACCTCTTCTCGCTGATTGCTGAGGAGTAAGTTCGTGAGAAACCAATCTACTGCTCTTTTTCACCTTCTACATGATGAGTAGATGGCGAATAGCAGTATCTTTCGGCATATCACACTCCTTGGAAAGTTCGCGATTGTTTGTGGACGGATTTGACTCAACAACTTCCTGCAGAACCTTAAAATTGCGAGAATGTCGTAGGACACTGTCATGTTTCGTCTTTGAAACAAATAACTAAACTGAAGCTTTTTTAGAAGAATTCGACAAGCACAGATAATGCCCTAAAGGGATTATTAGGTATTAAAATATTTACAGTACAAAATCTTGAATTTGGTAATAAGGTCATTTTTTTATACACCCTATTATCTCAGAAATTAAAAATCGTACCTGCATACCGTTAGGGAGAAAGTTTTCAGCATTTCATCATCTTTATAATGGCTGAAGCCTCCTTCACCAAAAAAATGGTAAAATATATCCAAGTTTTATGGTAAAAAAATATTAAAACATTATCTCTTAAAGTATTATTCTTTGTGTAATTCCATTTAATAGGACTTCATGAATCACTTGCCATCGTGTGTTAGACGTAGCCTCCCCTGCATTGGAGAGCGTAATGTAATGCAAGGGAGTCTTTCTCTACGTTCAACAGGCGTTTGATGGAGTCTGGCATCCGGGACTGATGAACAAACTCCGTAAATTCCTAGATACTCCAAAGTAAATCATAACAATGTTTATTCATCTCTTTTTTTCCAGTTTGCTGGTGTTCCTCAATGTCTGGAACTCCTCCTCAACGTTCTATCCTTTACACAGTTTATACAGCTGACATTCCAACATTGTCATCAACACCTATGCCAATGACGCGTGTATCCTATCAGTTACTAACGATTCATCTATTGCATCCCAAACTCTTCAATCATACAATACAAGACTTGAAAAGTGGTGTCAAAAATGATTGAAATAAATCCCATCAAATTACATGCTCTTCGTCGTAAACATATGACTTCCTGTTCTACAGTATCCTTTAACAATAGCCCACTTATCCCTGTTGAACAAATCCGATACCTAGGACTCCACCTGGAAAAACGACTCACTTGGAACCCTCATACCAGACTGAAACGACTTGAAGCCGCACGACATTTTCGACTACTGCAGCACTTAATAGAAAAACGCTCTAAACTTCCAACTGTTTACAAAAGACTCATATATATTAGTATAAAAAGGCCTATTTGGACTTACGAGATCCCGCTTTGGGGCTCTGCTAAACCATCAAATTTCTCTCGTATCCAATCCTAACAAATCCAAAATCCTTCGTAAAATCCTAAATGCTCCCTACTTTTTCACAAATAAAATCATACATAACGACCTTTGTTTAGGGTTGATCACCCTAAATTGTGGTTATCCCCCCCCTTCATGAGGTACATGTAAAGGACCAGGGAAGTAGGTAACACTGCAGCGACGGTGGCGCTGTATGCACCAAAAAACTAGTAGTAGAGAAAAATGGGCGACTAAACCCACACGAAGTAGACGAATACTCTAGCCTCTTCAAGATTACTTTCTTGCTGTTCTACCATGGGAAGAGGCATGGACTAGAACACTGAGACCTACCGGACCCATGGAGGTGAGAAGTACTGCAGCCGGCCGACCACCGATACCGACCACCGTACCTCAGCATCCAGCCACATCAAGTAAACGATTGTAGAACTTTTATAAGCCAAACCCCCATCTTTATATACTGTTAAACTATAATTATAATTAATTTCATACAGTCCACTTGTTCTTTCAAATACCCAATAAACATCTGTACCATATCATAATAAAAATGACGGTACATCCCATTTCAACCTTAATGTACCATATGTTTCCGATTTAGCTCAATCCTGGAACCTATCCTTCCATAGTAAACTTCTGAACCATCCGAACCCTTTTTTTTTCCAATCTTGCTTCCTCTTCTATTCCAGATAATCCTCCGAGGCATCTGAAAAGAAGATGGCCTCAGGACCTTCTAATATAGAAATATAACTGGAGTGCTATCAACGAGTAGTTTTTTTAATTTTTACTTGTTGTATTTATCATTTAATACAGTAGTAAAAAAAAAAAAAAAAAAAAAAAAAAAAAAAAAAAAAAAAAAAAAAACCTGTTTACCTGTTTATCTTTAATTTGAAGGACTCCTTGTCTTATGCTGATTTCTTATTGGACTGTTATAAAGAGATCGAAACGTCTCTTTATAACAGTCCAATAAGAAATCAGCCTAAGACAAGGAGTCCTGCAAATTAAAGATAAACAGGTAAAAGTATATATATATATATATCCTTATAACTATTATATAGCATAATAATTAAAGGTAATTAAAGGTAAAATTATTATGTTTTATAGCTACGTACGTACATGTACTAATGATTATGTTTTTGTTAATAAAAACGTAAAATCAGATTACTTTTTTAATTAAAACTTATTCAAGTAAATGCCTTTAAAATCAGTTATATAAAACTTTTATTAGTGAGTAATTGTGGATTGATGGTTTACTGTAGTGAATAATTGAAGAGATTGGAGTGTTCAGTAAAAAAAAATTAATTTAATTTTTAGTATGATTTGAAATCTTTAATTTTTTTTTAAAGTTTTTAATATATTTTTGAAGATTTTTAATGTTTAATTTGTTTTTAAAGATGTTTAATATGTTTTTGTAAAAAATTAAATAAAAATCATTGATTGCTTACCATTTGAACTGTCTCTTGGCAATGGAAAACAATGACTACAACTGTTAGAATAGAAACAATCACCCAAACCATGGCTACAATGCTGTCATCCTTGCTGAAATAGTGGATTTGTGCAATGAGAATGTAAATTGTACTAGTCGCATAGCTAAAGGTAGTCAGGGTAAAGACGAACAGCTGCGGGGAGTAACATCGGTTCACGATTTCGCAACAAGCCCCCAAGATTTCATGGCATTGGGTCCACTCCATGGCCGTGGCATTATAGAGGGTCTCCTCCAAGAAAGAATAGTGGTTCCTGATGGTGGCCAAGATGTTGATGAACTGAATCATGACGAGGTAAGCGTTTACTGTGATTATGGAGTATAAAATAGTGAGAATAGTAGGAAAATCAAATAAGAAATATTCCAAGAAGAAAACGGGGATAACAATAACGAAAAAAACAAAGTAATGTCTTTTGTATGACAATGAGTCGTGGTTCTGAGTTACATCTTCCACTCTCCTGAGTGCGCGAAATATCTTACTAAACTTCTTCAAGTTTATCCAAAGCCAAACGACAGAAACCGTAGGGACAAGAAATGGAATGAGAGTAGGAGTTAAGCAGCTAATAATTAAAGCATAACTATAAGAGTAAAGTAATATCTTGTGAGACAGAAAAAATATATTATATGCAAATGTAAAAGAGATAAAAATCAGGTACGCCATGCTATATGGAAGGAATATGTAAGAAAGGACAAGCTTGCTGTCGGTAAAAACAAACGGAAAGACCCCACAGAATGATGAGATCTTGAACATATTTTGGAAGGTAGTCTTAACAGTCTTGGAGAAGTGTTTTGTAGTGTCCTGCATTGTCCTGCTTCTCAACGGGGACTTCTATCCACAGCGAAAACTACAGCTCTAATTCTGTGAAAGGACTGTTATTCTGTTTCTACAGTCAACATTTTATTATTGATATATCGAGTTATTGAAATATTTTGCAATCAGCTGAGTATATTATTATAATTGAACATACCAATCAACTTGAATATTATATCATAGCGGGCATTCATCCTCTTATGTATCATTTCTAAATATAGATCCCTTTTCCATTTTTCAGGAGTGATGGATTTTGGCGAATAAGGAATCAATACAAAGAGAATAAATTGTATCCGAGCGGCTCTACGGACAGGGTTCACCCTATTAGTGTCAGAGTAGGAGGAGATAGAGTTAGCCTAGGTGAGGAGGTAACCTAAGATTGAGATTTAAAGCGAAATTCAGCATCTCTCCTCAGATAGAGTACCTACGGAGTAGGGTTACCCTGTCCCTAAATGGTGTGGCACGAATAGGAGGTGCCTTTTGAAGCCTTAGATACCCAGCGACGAGAATCATCTACAAGGGAGTTGTGCTAGGCATACTGAGGCATGCATCCTCAGCGTGGAGCCGTCCTCTGAATCAGATGTAGAAGAAGATGGCCTCCGTTCAGAGACTTGTCCTGCTGAGGAGGGCGTACAGGACTGTCCCACGAAGCTGTGCAAGTGATGGCCGGGTAGGTGCTCCTGGACCTCGTCCTTCAGGAGGACGCATAGATTAATGACTTAAATAGAAGTGTAATGGGCGGTGGGTTGCA